CAACTCTGTGACGTTGTGGAACATGTCACCACCTGATAAGAAGCGGCTGCTGAATGACCTAATATCAGGTGAGCCAGGAGTGTAAATCTAATAGGATATACCATAATATATGTTTGATTAGGCAAGGAAATGGATATCCGCTTAAAATTGTCCTTCAATAGCGGCGTCATGACCGAAACCGTATTGTATGAGACAACATACACCCTTACGAAGAACAAAGAAAAGACACGTGAAATGCTAATAAGAGCCATATCCGATGACAATAGCAAAGAAGACATTGTTGTGCCTGATATATTACCCAAATTCATTACTGTCCAAAAAATGAGGGTATTTGTAAGATTTATTAAAGATTTTGATGGTGCGTATACAAAGTTGTGTATTTTATGACTATTATGTTAGTTTTAAAGCAATGCGATCATCATCATGGACCTGTGTATTCAGTCCACTCGCTAACTAAACCTCTATATATACATACATACATATATATATATATATATATATATATATATATATATATATATATATATAGTATTAGTTTAAATACATAAAAATGTTTATTTTTCAGGTAAATTTTATAGGCCAATAATATTAAAGAAAAAGAAAGGGGAAGATAAAGTTTGGTGGGAAATGCATGACTACTGCTCGGACAAATTCTACAAAAACATTCTTGCTAGCCTTCCGTCTAGTGACTGTGAAGATGGTATAGTTTTTTATATATTTAATGATAAATCCTTCCCATCCACAATGAGTTTTCTAGAAAAAACTGGGTAAGTACCATTATTTCGAAGTTTATGTTTTCTAATTCTGTAAGTCCTTATGAGCATACTTCTGACTCGGACTACGATTTTGAATATTTTGGATAAATTAAAAATGTTTTATACTTGAATTTAAATCTTATAAGTCATTTTCTTCGTTTTCTTTTTAGTATTATTGGTCTGTATACAACATGTGTGTACGTTGTTTCCCGCCTAATAAGGTCATTGATAGCCAACAATCATCGACGACTAATGTTTGAGGATTTACCATATGTAGACCGAATATTGCAGCTTTGCAATGATATCTACTTAGTGCGGGAGACCAAGGAGTATCGTTTGGAAGAGGACTTATATGCCAAACTCCTATTTCTCTATAGATCTCCTGAAACGCTTATTAAGTGGACTCGATATAGGGAGGAGTTTATAGATGAAATGCCATCTTCAGGAAACAAACACGAAAGCGACCAGCCTATGCCTCCAAATCCCAATAGCAGAGATCAGCCATCGCAAACGCCATCGCACATGTAGTTGCAGTTGTTATAAATATTAAAAAGTATATTAAAATATGAAACTAACGTCTTTAGATCCCATAGAGCGTAGAGAGTAAACGACCGAGAGAAAAAGGCAGTTCAGTGGCATTCGACAATTTTTTTGCTGCAATGAGAACTAACAGCTGCTGTGCTGCTACGGTTCGACAGTTTTTTGTTTGTGCTATGACATCCGAGAAAAAGTCTGGCGGGCACTAAAGCAGATATCATTCAGTATTTTTCATGGGTTCTTCCATAATAAACAGAAAAACTCAAAATCTTACAAATAATAGTAAATATATACTATATGATATGGTTCGCTCACCTTGTCATCCAATAAGTAATATTGAACCAGACTTGACTTAAAAAAAGGACGAACGCCAAACTTTAAAGCAGGAATGGACAGACCTTTGATAAGAGCCACGTTACCAAAACTGCTTTATACTGCTTGGTACCGCTTCTTTTCTCAATATGCACTTTAACATTTAACATCTTTAACTTGAAAAATTAATGATATGCTTTAAATTAAACAAAATTAAAATATTACTTTAAGTTTTGTTACGCGAACTTATTTTCTTTTACATGGAGTAAAAAATAGACGTAATTTTTTAATTTCAAAGCGTACGATAGTTTCAAAATTTGGTACCACCCTGTCGAGCTAACAGATGTGGTATTTATGTTATAGTAACATTACTCAGAAAGGCACCGATTAGATTTAACATGGCTTTTATTAACAGACTGTTATTTACTCGAATGACAACGAAACGCCAGTATAATTATATTTAAATACAAATTGCTTTACGCAACGGAAAACAACCCATTCTTACAGATCACAATTTAAAGCCCAACGCATTTTAGCTTTGTTATTAAAGAAAAAAAAAAAAAAAACAAATAAATTTGCAGTAAGTAATATAAATTATTTGAAATTTGGCCACAATTTAATTTGATCTTATACGCTTATCAAACTATCGATAGGTTTAAGCACAAAGTGCTTTAAAATTAGCTAGACTGCAATTGATAGAGTGCAATCGAACGTGAACAGCAACGGTCATACTCGGTAGTTGCTGCGGAGTGAATATCATTGAATTAAGATTATTGTTTGTTTTGGATTCGTAATTTTCGAATTTCCCTGTTATTACAATACACGGTTGGTGTAATCTCTGTAAAAATTAAAAAACGAGAATGTGCTTAACTTTCATATTTGATGTTTAAATGTAGTTAAAAGTACTTACTCGCCTTCTTATTGTTGGGTATGGATCGGAATAAATTCTTCGTAGCAACTAAAATTAGGTTTGCGCGGACAAGGCTTTGAAGTTATAATATAGGTCACATGTCCACATGCAAATTTGCTATATTTTGTTAAATTTTCGATGAAAGTATTTAGTGTTCAATGACTGTATTTTATACTGTTTATATTCGCAGTTTTCTTATAGCAATGTGATCAAAAGGTGCTCTTAAGTTTATGATCATAAGCCACCAGAATTATAATTTTCGCATTTCAGTATCCAGTTATTGCTTTCATTTAAAAAAAAAAAATAGGCTGCCAAAGAAAGAAAACAACACGAAAAGCAGCTTTTGCAGTCATACAAATGCTCACCTAACTTCAACCAAGAAGTAAAATACCTGAATATACATACATACAGATGCACTGGAAAGGCAGTATGATTGTATTTTGAAGATGCTCTTTACCGAGTCTGTGCGCTCACTTTAGTTGCGGCACACTTTCGCTTTTTATATTGATATTACAAAACTTTGTTCGCTGGGCGTCCACTTCTGATTAAGGTTTTTTTTTTATACATATATGTAAAGATGCAAAGGTAAGAGCCAAATAGTTGAGTGAAGTATTTTGATAAACGCCTTTTATTGTGAACGCACGTTTTTTGTTTCTATCTCATACATATAAAGTTATATAAACTATTTTTTGACTACATTGAGTCAAAACCATTTTCAGTATAGATATTTGGTACAGGTTTATAGGTAACCATAATGCATACCTTTAATGTTTCAAGACGTGGTTAGTTGCATACCCTAATTTTGATCTATATGTGTATACTTCAAAATAATCACATATACGGCAAATAGGTATTTATAATTTTAGAATTAATAAAAATCGTGCTTGAACAAATGAATTGAAGAATGTTCTATTGTATCATATAGTAGGGTCTAGAGTCTAGAAAAATTTACAAGGTCTATTCTTATATATGCAAACGGATGGAGTACGTTGTCTGTTAATCCCTATTTATATATAAAATTTTTTTGTTACTGGCACTTCTTATTTTCGCGTCTTACCTACATCTTATGCCTCGAATTCCCATTTCCAGTGGGTTTATGGTAAACAACAACTATTTCCACTGTAATGCTATCTGAAGTAAATGTTATTGAAACTAAAATAAAAAAGATAAAGTTAAATAAATAATAATAAGCTCGAGATAAACAGTTTTATTAGCTGTTACTTTGCGTGAATATACAATAGTACTTTTGATTTTGACGCTGTGTGTAGATTCACGCGCTAAAATTATATAAATCTCAATCCAACTTGAATAATAAAAAAAAAGAGTTCTTTAAAACTAAGTAAGTATATAATATAGGAAAAAAAAAGGTCAATTGAAATGTGTATTAATAGAAATGAATCACAAAATCCGTCCTATCTCCTTTTGTGATAGGTTTGCGGACAAAGACTACAGTTTAGAGCATGAATAGTACACGATTTGGTATATTGAAAAATCAATCTATTCATTCATACATACATACAGACATATTTAAATTACATACACAGATGTGTAGAAAACAATACTGTAGAGTATTCTTATTGATCTTAACTATACGCTCTAGAATAATAGGTATTTTAAAACTTTTGTAAACTATTCAACCAATCTGTACTTGGGCTGGGTGATCAGATTTCATGCAAATCGCAATTCAAGGAAAGAATTCTTGTCATTACATATTGGATTACTATATACATTACTTTAGCTACTATTCTGAGAGTTTCTGTTGATGTTGATCCATATACAATAAGAAAAGTTTGACTGGATACAGTTTACAGTTATCATACATATGTACATACTGAAACTGAAATATGCGCATAGGCATATATTTGTTAAGCCCAATTTAAATTCTTAATATATTATTTATTTGCTCAAAAAATACTTAGATAAAGCTGTAGATAAAACGAATGCCATAACATTCCAGTAAACAGATCTCGAAAAGTACGTCATGAAATAGCATTGTTTTAGCTCAGGAAAGCCGAAGCCTCAATTCTCTTGCAAATTTCAGCAAATTGTTCTCTTATTACGATAGATATTGTACTACTTAAGAACAATCATATTTCTCTCAACTTTCATTAAGCCAATCTTGAAGTTGACCTAATCGGCTAATATCTGAGAGTAGTTATATTGTAACTTATATGTTTTGTAACTCTATGTCTTCATACAATGCTCATTCAGGATATATGAATATATAGATTTAGAGTTTCTGGTTAAGAAATATATTTCTTTGTAGTATATGCAAATGTTGAATTCATAGGATAGAAATAAAGAAAACATTGTTTATTTTTATTCGCAGGTTTTTACTATGGAGTGCAAGACACAGAGAAGATAAAAGTTGTTCATTTTGGCCTTAACCACACAAAGGTTGTGTACACATTTTAGCACGGAGCATACTGAGTGAGTATACAAAAGTAAACCAGATTTCTAGATCATTAATAGTTTCTCCATTTCAGATATAAATATGACAACAAAAATAGTGCAGTGATATTCGAAATTGTTTGAGCCAATGCTGCATCAGGTATTACATCATTGTTACAGCCAGCAGTCGGAGCTAATGAATATTAAAAATATATCATTGCCGGAATGCGTAAAGCAATTGGACAAAAGACAGCAGCTGGCTGGGGAATACAACAACAACAATGAGGATTACGATCCGTACATGCAAAAACAGAAACAGATGCATCGAGTGCGTGAAAAGCTTCCGTGCGCAAACGAAGATGCTTCAGAAAGCTCACGGACATGGATGTTCTGCGAACGGTGCTGTGGAGAGAGACAACAGAAAGAGCAAGAGCAAGAGACAGAGACAGAGAAAGAGCGAGAGCAAAAGCAAGAACAAGAGTATCAACAGAAACAGCAGCAGCCTGGCATCGTAGCTTTTTATCGCTCGTATATGGATTCAGTGTCTGATTTGTCGTCGTATCGTTTTGTCTCCGATGAGGAGGAAACCAATGATAATGATGTTGATGCTAATGATGACGTTAGTGTTGGCTCGCTGTCGCTGCCGTGTGTAGAAATAGAACAACACAAGTCAAAAACATCAACTATAGCACAATACATAAACGAATCGACGACGGATAAGGCCTTAAACGTTGAAGTGCCCCACGCGTCAGCATTTTTTCTACCACACGAAACGCGGAGTGTGTTACCAATAATTCATTATAGTAATTCTAGCAAAGTTACTCAGCAACAGCAGCAAAAGCAACTGAAACACCAACAGCAGCAGTTATTAAAAGTTTCTGAGCCCGATCCAACATCTTTTCGAAATAGTTATGCTACAATTGGACATTGGCCCAATGACGCGTGCCGCTCTAGCAGGCATTATAATTATAGATCGTATCTACGTTGTGGTCGTCGCTATCCGCCGCCAGTGCCACCGAAGCCCAAATCGCGCAATCGAATTTGCTTTGAAGTCACCGCCTGCAGTGGCATCTATAATGCTGAGCCTGCACTGAAAACACGTCGATTGGAACATTTTGAAAAACAGAAACTTATCCAACCGCGATTTGTGCCTTTTGTTGTGTCGGATAATCATACTTCGAAGCGTGGAATCAGGAGCTGCGCTGATCCAAAAAACATCTATTCGAACGCCAACGAATGGACGTCAGTGGATGCTGAAAATAGCTGCGAATTTCATTCTGCTGACAACAATCGCAACAACTATAATTGGAAATTCGACGCAACGTCAAATAAACATTTGCCATTCAAAGAAACTTGTACATTGCGCTACGATCATTACGGGTATCTGAAAAAAATATCTAATCCCAACTGCAATCCGAAACAAAAAGGGGTCGCGAACCCAGCACGGGACTCAGACAAATCGCGTACCAATAGTGACGACATTTTTGAATATTATAATGCTGCAAATCTACTTAGGCCCGCAGCAGGCATTGATTTCCTTAAAACTGCAAGCTCGAATGAGTTTGATGTATCCGAACCACCTGAGATAACGAATAAAGTACAAATTTTTAACGGCGAGTCTTCTTCAATTCATGTTGCAAAGAATATTCACAGTTTTGGCAAGAAATGTTCCCAGTCAACCTTGGCTAGAATATCTGTGGAGAGTCCCAGATATACCGGTTGTTGTTCCCTGAATTGTACAACACCTCAACACAAAACGGCTTCTTTGCCGATAAAGGACGTTTCAGCTACTCAATCTCTGGACAATTCTCTTTACGCATGCTCATCAGTTGGACTTAACTGCGACAGAGATGTAAGTATTGCTGTGTAGCAGAAAATTGACAATGGATAATTATTTTTTATTCAAAATGGATTTGTCAAGTTTCTCACATAGTTTCACAGTTTCTCTATTTATCTGTCAAAGATTATCAAAAACATATTTTTAAGTTCTTAGTAGAATGAACTCCATTAATTACATACCTTTGCTCCATAAAATATACATATAAATATAGTATGTATGTATATATATACGTTGGATTTAGAATTGGAATGTTGTTCATCTAAATATTTTAGTACTAATTTATTCAATATTATTTGAGTTTTAGATCCTTTTTGATTAAAATTCGCGTCCCCAATATACATATTTACATGAACAATAAAAAAAATTATTAAATAAATAAACCTAGTTGGAAATC